GGAAAAGCCAGGTTTTAATGGCTTTGCAAAAGGCCATGAGAGTGGGCAGGGCCCGGATTAATTCTATAATATTAAAATGATAATATCAAACATAATAATCATAATATTTGCTTCTCTCTCTTAACATATCTTCTTTATTTCACAAATCTTTTTCTTTTGTTTCCATTTCTAACTTCCATGTTTATTATCTAACCATTGATAAATAAGTCCCATGTCATATAATATTCAGTTTGTTCTTTCTCCTTAATTGCAAGCGTTAACCTATTCATTTCTGCACATTCTAATATTTTCCTGATCACGTTCTCATCTGTGGGGCTTCACTTTTCCAATTTTGTGCAAATAAAATTCTAGTTGCAGTTAATATATGAATAATTAGATATGCATTGCCCTTACTATGTATTTCGGGTAAAATCCCCAACAAGAATATTTCTGGCTTTAAATCAATATGCTGCTTTATCATTTTTTCCAGCCATGTGTGTATTTTTGTCCAGTATTTTTTTGCCTTTGAGCATGTCCACCACGTATGATAATATGACCCAGGTATCTGTTGGCACTTCCAGCATTTAGCCGACTTATCTTTAAACATCTTTGCCAACCCCCGCTGGTGCAAAATGTCATCTATAAAACATTGTTAATTTATAGTTCCTATCCCACAGTTTCTGCCATTTGTCTAACTATTGTATAACCAAAGGTTTTTGCCCATACTATCATTGTCTGCTTCACTTGTTCATCTTCCAATTTAATAAGTAGCTGTACATTTTCTTTATCAATTTTTCTTCTGTTCCTGTTAATATCTTGTCCAATTCTGTTAGTTCATTATAAAAAACCGTATAGTTTAACATCTTTCTCGTATCTAGAATGTATCTGCACTTGTGAATATCATGTCATATCAATCCCTTGATTGCTCAATTCTTGTTTAGTTTTGAGTTCCCCCTTTTCATTCAAAATATCTTTGTACCTAACAATATTTTCCATGTTAATAACATTTGGGTGAATCAGTGCTTCCATTGTTAAAAGCCAAACTGGTATCCTCAAGTAATGTTGTTCTCTAATTTTCACCCACACTAACAATAATGCATTCTTAATATAACGTCTTTGAAAGTAACCATGTATTTTATTTTTCCCATACCACAAGAAGGCATGCCAGCCCAGTTGCAAATTGTGCCCCTCCAAGGTCAATAGTCTTGGATGCCGCAATACAATCCATTCTTTCATCCATATAAGTACCGTAGCCTGATAATACAATTCCTAATTCGGTAGCCCAAAGCCGCCTCTATTTCTTGAATCCTGCAGCATTTTTAAGCTTATTCTTGCTTTTTGCCCTTGCCAGATATATCTTAATATTACTTTATTGAGTTCCTGAAAGAATTTTTTTTCCAATTTTATCAGAATTGTTTGAAATAAGTATAGTAGTCTAGGTAATATATTCATTTTTATTGTAGCTATTCTTCCTATTAGTGATGATTGCAGATTTTTCCATTTCTCAAAATCTGCTTTAATTTGTTGCATCAGTTTATAGTAATTATCTTCCTTAATAGTTACACTTCTTGCTGTCAGATAAATCCCTAAGTATTCTACTTTCTTAGTAATCTGAATATCTATTCTCTTCATTAAATTTTTTCTCCATGTCTGTAAGATTTTTAACTAAGATTTTAATTTTCTCTTTATTTATTTTCAATCCTGCCACTTCGCCATATTCCTTTATTTTTTTATTAATTTAACCTTCTCTGTCATATCTCCATTTACCATCACCTTTGCTGTTTGTTTATAATATATCACCTTAGAATTGAATAAAATAGAATAGAATAGAATAACAGAGTTGGAAGGGACCTTGGAGGTCTTCTAGTCCAACCCCCTGCCTAGACAGGAAACCCTATACCATTTCAGACNGATGTCGGATGCAACAACATGATGGAAATTTTTTAATAACAAGTAATTTACCTTAAGACCAAGACTATTACTGTAATTTAATGTGTGCTGTTTTTTAATATATCGATTTTATTTAATTTTGAAGAAAAGACAGTTATAATGCTTGGAACATTAACATCTGAACATCTGTAATTAATATTGATAGAATATCCATATTCTTTTTATTTTGTTCTCTCTTATCTGTATTTAATACTCCAAAGCTCCTATGTAAGAGAATATTAAGAATCTATTATATAAATATCACTGAATTTAAATAACAGTGTACTAAAACCTAGAAGATGGAACACTAGATGATTAATATGGTTACATTTAATAATATATGCTAGTCCTATATCAACATTCTGTCCGCATACTTTTATTTTTTACAAATGTCATTCATTTATGCTGTTTTCTGGTTTTAATAGCACTGTTGTACTTTTGGTTATTCTTCATCATATTTTCTGATTAGCAGGTGATAGCCATTTCTAAAAGTTTTGCAAATAGAGGCTTTTTCTTCTTCGGTCCAGTTGGGTAGTAGAGAACTGGCAATGATACACAGAGCAGAGTTTTTCATGATTTAATCCTCATATTTTTCAAGTTCCTACTTATGTTAATGTTTCTTTTCTGTTTCTTGCTTGAATTTTAGAAGTGCTTAGCTTATTTAAAAGTTTAGGGCATCTTAATTCAGTTTTTACTATGAAAAATCAGATTGTCAACATTCAGCAATTTGCTGCTGAGTGTTGGTGCTTATGGGTTTGTGGGCTGATTCAGTTTCCCCATGCATGGAGTAGTCCAAATCGTGCTTCCAGCCTCAATCCATAGCTTTTATTTTCTTCAAGCTTCAAGGGAGATGCTAAACCCTATAAAGTTAAGGAAGTCCCCAGTCTTTTCCTATATATGAGCCCTTTAAAAAATAGATGGTTCTGATTGTGATATATCAAGAGAACTATCGGGCTCTATTTGGAAGCCAACTTCTTCCCTTGCCTGTCTCCTAGTTTGTCATTAGATTACCTATTGTTTTTTTTTAATAAATGGTGAAAATATGCAGCAGCTAGAGTAGATGAATGTAGTGAAATTGAGGGGAACTTGACCTGAGTTTGTTCACGTAAGGCTTGAGAGGTCTGTTTGAGAGGTACATGCAGCTAATTGGCACTAGAGGGCACTGTGAAGNGAAGACATGAAATACTTGAGGCTGATGTATGAGCGCTTGCTGCATGAGGACAATAGCACAGACTGGCTGAATGACACCCATTGGGTCCAGCACACCAATATCCTTTCTGAAATATGTGTTAGATTTGTGAGTAGGCTGTGACTCTCCTGAACTTGTATTGAAAGGATAGCAAATCTGTGGCTTTTCAGATGCCTCTGTGCTACAGTTTTCAGTGTTCTTCAGCACAGGCCAGGCTGGGAGTTGCAGTTCAGGATCTGGACAGCTTCCCTATCCCACTTTAGCACTCTTTATCATACCATCAACAGAGATTTCTGGGTATTATATTTTGTTGAGTTCTGGGATTCCTCTGTTGCACATTCTAGTACTCTTCCCTCCTTTCCGTCAAAGATCTGCAATTTTCTAGGTAGAAGGAATGGCTGTTAACCAAGATGGAATCTGTAGTGTCAATACATCTAGGGCTTTCCATCCTCCCTACCATATTACCTATTTTATGTAAAGGAAGTAGGAAAAGTCTTAATTTCAGAAACCCATTATTAGACTTCATTGGGCAAAGTTCATGGAATTCTATCAAATGTGAAGTATACAGCATAAAGAATTTTATTTTCCAAAACAATAGAACCTTTGGTGTACAAGACTATATTTTAAGTGCAATGATACTATCTCTCCTCCAGAGCTGCTGTTGAGTCTCCTCTCAAAGGTGTGCTTTCAAAAGGCAACTGAACTGTTTTTTCTTTGAGGAGGAAGAAGACGTTTAGTTTCTTATCCCAGAAGCTTCATTGGTTTTGGCAGGATGGTGGGGACGATAGAAGGAATTCTATCACCCCCACCATCCTGCCAAAAGCAATGAAGCTTCTGTGATGAGAAGTGAAACTTCTTCCTAAAAGGAAAAAAAACAATCCAGTTGCCTTTGAAAAAGCACCCTATGACCTGAATGACTGAGAATACATTCAGTCTCCTATTATTTATTTATTTTTACCAATTTGCAGTTGGTGATTGGATTGTGCTTCATGGCAAATATTGAAACTGCGATTATTTCTTAAAACTGTGATAGGTTCAAAGGTTTTGGGCCAGCTAGTTAGAACAAATTGCAGAAGATACATGTAGTC